CAAATATATTCATCTTCCTCTGTATAAAAGTTGTACACGTTGAGAAGGCTCATAAAATTTGCTTCCTTTAACGGTGAGAGTTGTGCAGGATTTGATAACAAAAGTGCTTTTATTATGTGTAAAAAGTAGGATCTGAGTGATTGCAAATTATGACAGATCAAAATAAGTTTACTAAGCTAAAATAAAAATAAGTTACTAAGCTAATAAAATAATGTGCTCCCATTGGCTTCCCTTACTCCTTGCAGAAGGAGTACCAGACATTGGCGGGGGCAGCCCTGAGAGTTCAACTTAGGGATCTATACTAGATCCATTAAATCAAATTCTAGAAGATCAACCTCCTGAGCATTGATCTTCTCATAAGTATAGACATGCCCTCAGAGAAGTTACAAATAATAGTTTCTCACTCTAGTTTCCATTTCAGGTGAAGTCTTTTCAAGCTAGATCTGTTGAACTCAAGTCAGAAAGAACATAAGAGTTGTTTTGTTTCCAGGGTTGCTTTCATGTACCCTCTCAGGGAATGTAGCAGTTTGTATAGCCAGCTGAAAACAATTATTGTTTTGCTTCCCGTTCCTTAATTGGAATTTTCCCATGGCAGGAACTCTTTGTCTACTACCCCCCACTTCTGTGGAAAAATACCAAATACAAGATGGATTCCAGCATCAGGTGTTATGGTTATATGTCTTTGTGGGACCAACCACAGCTTAGGCTTACAGTTAAAACAAGACTATTCACAGATCCTTTTCTTGAGCAGCAGGCCATTAAATTCCTTAAGCACCATTAATGGCTTTCACTAGAAGATCTAGATTAATAAACAGATTTGCACTTTATATTTATAACCTCACATACAAAAAGATATGTACACACAATTAGAATAGACATATATAGGGGATTATAACTTCTTGAATGAAAGGTTACTTGCCCTTTTTTGCATAAAGCATATTTGAGTTATGCTTATTTATATTCAAAAACATATTTACATAAAATATTGGGGGCACAGTGTTGCATAGTTCACTTGCAATTCTGTTTATCACACAGCTTTGTGTTTCATTGTGACATCAAGCTGATTAGGAAGCCTCACTGCATCACTTCCAGTTGGTTCAGTAGAATGCTTTTATACTCTGCACAATTTCCAGTCAGGTGGCACAGTGGTGTCAAGAGACCTGCCCACCTTGTTAGTAGAAGCTCATAAAAGCCACAGCAGTGAAAAACATTGAGTCATTCAGGCCATGGTTGGTTAGATGTAGCTTAGCCCTAAGCACTTAAAAAAAAGGGGGTGCCTTTGACTCATGATTTCCTGAATGCAGAGTGAAAACCATTTTGTTCTTCAAAGCAGAGCAACTTCCAGAGAAGTCAAAGGGCATAAGGAGTTTTCTGGTTACTTCCTCTTACTGATTTTTCTCTGCACAATCATGCAATTTCTAGCCTTGATTCAGCAATCCCGTCTTTGTATTTGACCCCCCACATCACATTGTCCATTTCTCAGCAGTCATTCTTGTGTGCCATCATGTGAAGAGCTACAAGAGACTGAAATGCTTTAACCAGGCTATCTTTCTTTTTCTGCTTTTGTGGCAAAGCAAATGTTCTCACAGGCATCCCTACCTCCCCTAAAGAAGATTACTTTGCTCCTCCAGCCTGCACTTTTCTGTTTTTCTGCTTCCTCAGCAAAGTGCAGTGAAACACTCTCCTAATTCAATTTTTTTCCCACTTTGGCTTTTTGTTGTTATAGCTCAGTGGTGTAATGAGGAACATATTTTAACAGATGTGCTGCATTTTACACTATATGAGATTCTTTTTAAAGGAATCACTTACTCTTTTTTTTTCCACAATAAATGGATTAAACTTGTGTGCTTCAGTGGAAAAAGAAAAAAATGTAGAAATGCAGACTGAGTGCTGGAGATTAGAAAATGTCAAGGAGTTCGAAGTTTTCTGAAACTTTCAAACTATTTTGGGAGAGTTTGAAAGCGAGTTGAAGTTTGTGAGCTATTGTTTCCTGTAAGTCAAATGCCTGTGTTCTCTCCTCCTCCCCAAAAGAGATTCATTTAATCAGGGTAGAAAAACAAGCTGTCTTCTAGCTAAAAGGAAACTCTTTCTGAATCTTTCAAAAAGAAAAACAGCTCACCATCTACCATGTCCTTCAAAATGACCCCTGTTGGTGGGCAGTCTGTGTATATAAGCATATCTGTATATATAGTTAGTACCACCTATACTTAAGGTTGCTCTATGCATTCATTACAGGATTTCTTATTTTGCTTATAACTTTGCCAGTATTAACCATTTGAACTGACATTTTCCATGATGGCTGTTTGCCTCAGATGAAATCTTCCCTCTTTCTTCCCTCCACGCCCATCTCCCCCACCCCAATATTCCATCCTTTGAAAAGTTTAATCAAGAACCACTCAACCATTTCAATACTGATAGAATATTTGAATTGTTAGAGTATTATTAGAATTTGACAGCTAAAAATCTACAGATTCTGTCAGCACTGAACGTGCTCCATCCCCTCGCAGCTTCTCCATGTTGACTGGACTGAGAATGAGTGTGGTCCAGGCCCAAGGTGCAGGGGATGGGAAGGTCTTTCTCTATAATTGCTGCTCCAGATTCAGAGGATTGTGTTGGCACTATACATAGGAATGGACAGGGAGCCTTTCTCTTCTGTCTTCTCAATGGCTTCCTGTCCCCATTCCTCACCGATACCCCAGCAGCATGGCGGAGAAAACAGCCTTACTTGTATGAAGAAGGGGACAAGAACTGAACTGGAGGATATGGAGGGGGGGAAAAGGCAGTTTTCCCAGGGCCTGGCAATGCCACAGTGCATTCTGGGTGACGTGAAGGGCTGACTGTCCCCACCCTGCCCCTTCTGCCTGGGGACTTGCCCCTTCTGGATGTGCGGAGCTGGTCCCTCCCTCATCTTGCCTGAGACCTGCAGAAGCTGTTGGCTCCCTGGAGGGGTAAAGACAAATTGAACTGAGCTGCTCTAGACTGTAGTTAAGAGACATTGATACTTGGCTGCAGATCCCAGAAATTATGGGAACTAAAGGAATTGTAAAGCCATCTTCTCCTCCATTCATCCTGTGCTAAACAGCGGTCAGCCAGACTGGAGAATCTGGCTTGGCTCTTAGTTTGGTATTGAATAATTCTACTCGTTCTGTCTTTTTAAAACTACACATGAAAATTGTTAGGCGGGGAGACCTAAATCTGCATCTTTTGGCTGCATTTTATAGAGCATAAATGGAGGACAAGACCAAGCTCTGCTCTCCTACTAAGGCACTCTAAAACTTGGGGGGGAACATAGTGGGATGCATAGGAGCAAAATGGTAGGAGAGTGGGAAACATTCACATCACCTTTTATATTTGGAAAGCACATTCTGTTTGTAGCTTATTCTGCTAGGTTTATTTTATTTAAAAAGGAACCTGAGTCAAATGCCTTTGAACTTTGGAGAGGTTTAGAGCTGATCTGTGTGGTTCACATCCATCTCTAATTTTAGTGAAATACTGATAATTTTATCACAAATCATTTTAAAAAATACCGGCATAAAATTTTGCTTATAAAAATAGGGTGATGATTAAAAATAACTGTGCATGAAAAATGTCCCAAAAAATTTGCAAATACAATTAATAGTCTTGCACAAAAATAGTATAATACTGCACACACCGTTGACTCTTTCGTATCCCGTGTTTTCTGGGTGCAATTTAAATATCTGGATACTTAAGTTTTGACCAACATAGAGATTACTTGTTGCAAAAATTCAACTTTGGAAAATGTTCATTAGAAATACCTTAATGCAACAAACTTAATGCAAATTGTGACCAAGATAGGAAAATCACTCCAAACCTTCTGTGTTATAGGAAAGAAGTTTCAGAACATACTTGTAATTCCCTGTGATGCCAACTGTTAAATTTGAACTCTATCATATTTCCAGTGTTTTTTACACAGGCACTTTACTGCACTGCAACTTTTTGGCTTGGGTGTGAAAAATCACTCCCCAAGCACAGCATGTTGAAGAGCTATAAAGAGCCAGTATAAACTGTGTTCCCAGCACAGTTAGCTACTCACCTTGTGGAGGTGGTTTACTTAGTGTGCTAGGAAAGTGCTCTCCCAGTGCTCCTGCTATGGCCACACTATTGCACTAACGGCCTGCCGTGGCTTTACTATTTATAGGGTGTACAGAAAGCTTTTGTTGAAAGAATGGCCTGGGAGGGGAGAAAAATGAAATGGTAACTGAGGTGGCAATGGCCCCTGTGGGATTTTTAGTCCTGACTATTTGTCAAATAAGCTTTCATGTAAATTATGGTAAAGAGCTGCGATGTTTCCATTAAAACCAGCAATATGTTGTTCCTTTGCTCCTACCTTTCTTTCTGTCCCTGATCAACATCAAAACTGTAAATGGAAACACCCCTACAACCCAATGCTTTTGTAGTCTTCCTGCAGAAAAATCTCTCTCGAGCTCCTTCACCAGCACTGGCTGGCTGCCAGCCTACCCAACACCGAACCATCTACTAAGGCTAGCTCTACACTAAAGAAGAAGGTCAAATTAACATTCGCAACTCCAGCTATGTTAATTATGTAGCTGAAGTCAACATATCTTGATTTGAGTTTCCCTGCCATCCCCACAGCAAGAAGCCAAAGGAAGCAAACATTTCCATCAGCTTTCCTTACTCCTCACAGGAGCAGGAGTATCTGCTACTGACAGGGACACTCCCTGAGTTCAGTTGAGCAGGTCTTTATCAGACCTGCTGAATGGAACTCCAGAAAATTGATCACGGCAGCATTGATCTTCCGCTTAGTGAAGAAATGGCCTCAGATGAATCTGTTTATATTATTAATACTGATCTTTGTAACAGGACATAGATTCCATTTTTAAAGGGTTAAAGAAAAAAAAAACCTTTATCACATTGTTTGCTATCCATAACCATGAAAATACTTTCCATCTGTGTGATTCTACACAATGTTGTTAACATTTCCTCTTTCTTTTTCTTCTCTTCCTCTTGGGGAAAAAAAGCTGACGAAGTGGAAAGACTGGCTTCAATGCGTTCAGACTCTCTAGTACCAGGAACCCACACTCCTCCAATCAGGAGAAGAAGTAAGTTTGCCAATATAGGAAGGATTTTCAAGCCATGGAAATGGAGGAAGAAGAAGAGTGAAAAGTTCAAACACACTTCTGCAGGTAATAAATGTGGATTGGCTGACTATTTTTAAATTGTTTGTTCAAATGGACTGAAAACAGTACAGAATTATTAATAAGTAATGTAGGCATAAAATGTGATCAATTTAAAAATATTATAACTTTGTAGGAAATGTCCTCCATATGTATCACTTTGTTGCTGGTCTTTTTTAAAAAAATATTTTTGTGTGATACATTAAAAAATAAGGGAACAGTTTTGAAGTAAAAAATATGCCAGAGCTGTGTATGGAACTTCTGATATTAGCAAAGCTCAGGAGAAAGTAAACCAAATGAAGTCATGCTGGCTTCTTTTCAATGAGAAACATAGTGGGAGGGAAGTCAATGTAACTGGTAAAATCAAGAGAGAAAACCATTGGAGAATGAAGTTACTTTCAGATGTTATAAAAGTGTTTACAAATAACGTAAATGCTAAGGTGCCACTGGACTCATTGTTTTTACAGATAATGAAGAATTAAAATAAGCAGGAAAAAGCAGTTGATTATTTACTTTTATATAACTGATATAATTTCTTCATTGTGTGGGACTGGAATGACCAGTGTCCCTTCTTTTAAGAGAAGTAAGGCTCTCCTTTTTCCATGCTGTTTTCAGGTTTCTTGTGTTGGACATTCTTTAAAGAAGGGTATTAAAATCACAAAAGCGTGTTTTTGTGTCCATGATAGGGCTGAGCCAGTACCCCAGATCCAAACGTTAATTAACTTTGGGGAAGTGTAGATTGGATGTGAACTCAGACCCTTCTGCGTTGTGTATCTGTGAATCCACACTGCCCTTACAATGAGAGAGAAAATGTTAATGGGTATGGTTCTGTGCAAGTCTTGAATTTGGGATTGCTGTGGCAAAATGAGAATTTTCACCTCATACCTCTTTATGAAGATAGAACCAGATCAGTGTGGACCTTGCAGCTTGGCTTCTGACCCGTCTACAACTAGGTGGGGTAAAATCTCATTTAACTGGTTAAACATTAATGGTTAACCAAATAAAGGGGCTGGGGCTGCAGCCGCCCCCCCACCACAGGCAGGGGGCGGCCGCGGTAGACCTGGGTATGTCACACACAGGGTCTGCTCTGGTCATCCAGAGGAACCCCTGCCTGTGGGATGCCTCGGCCCCCTGCCCACAGCAAGGAGGGAGTTGCTCCAGACCCCACTAGCTAATGGTTAACTGGAACTGGCTAACCGGTTAACTTTGCACATCCCTATCTACAACATAATGAAAGATGGTAGTGTAGACAGGACTAACAGTGCCTGATCCTGCAGGCCCTTGTGTGAGTGGTCCTAACTAACCAACAGGCAGCTTTTAATTAAGTAGGAATTTTCACATGAATATGAGGTAAGGGTTAGCAGGATAAAACCACTCTTCAACTACATGGTTTTACAAATTCTGCTGGGTCTGACAGAGACAAATGAATTGGAATAAGTGGTTGTATTGCTCTGAATGACTATATCTTTTGATTTTTTTTTTGTCTTGATAGTTGTCAAAGTGACATGATTTCACAAAACAAGTAGCCTGTACTTCATGTTCTATCAGTCATCACAGTAGTTCTCTGTAGCACTATTTCGCATTGCTGCTTTGAAACCCAATTACTAAAGCATTTTTGTAACCACACCGAGAATACAAACACTGTAAAAAATTATATATTTCCCTCTCTTTTTCTGTAGAATAAAGGAAAGCCATCACAAATAAAATCTCTATTGATGCTAAGAAAAACTGATAACTTGAATCTCACTAGGGTGATCCCTTTAATTTGTATAGTAAATCAAAAGACAAACACGTGTAATAGCATAACAAGAGCCAGTGAGCAACTTCCTATTATAAGTTATCAATTTCTGGTACATTGATAAATGGGATTTTAAAAGGGGGGGAGCATTAATCTCCTAGGGGAAATTTCACAAAATCACTAATTATAAAAAACAAACAGAAAGATACCTTTGCTATGCCTTTTCTAGGTACAGCAATAGATGCAAATGTTTTCAGGGTTCAAGTTGGTGATTGATTGTAATGGACGAAATTATTTAATCTCCTTTCCTCAGTCCTAGCTTCCATTGAGGTTTGTTTGTTTTTGTGATCAATGCTATAAAAGTATGGCTGTCTCAGTGGTTTATGAATTTGAATACAATGGTTTCTGAATCTGCTACTGCCTCTATGCTAATAGACCTAGTCCTTTTTGTTCAAGCAGTAGACTCAGTAGAGGCTTCTGTCTTTTTACCTAGACGTCTAGGGTTCTTTCCTTGTAGGTGATGGATCCAAGGGCATTATTACACTTCCTATAGTTTAAACTGCATGTCAAAGAGCACATTTTAAATGTATTCATTATTGAACATGTAAATATCATATTGTTCCAAAAAGGTTCTTTTGATCCAAACTCTGCATCCAGATCAGGGGTTCAGATGACATACAAATTTGCACATGACACAAACATTGGGGGAGTGAGAAATAATGAAGATGGGTCCTACTCCCTTCTCATTACCCACCCACCTGATGTAAGGGCCCACCACCCCCAATCCATGCTGGCTACGCCAACAGTGTGTATCTCAAGTTTTTCAAAGAACAGCACCAACGGGGTTTTCAAAACAACACACAGCAAGTTGTAGATAAGAGTATAATTCTTCCCAGAGCAAGCATTTTTCAACAGCTGGGATAAAACTCTTTATAGTAGAAACATCTACAAGAATTTCCTAGACAGATCTGTTACCAGACTGGAGCATAAATATTTATAGCAGAGACATATTAGAAACTTATCAAATGAAATTAGACTTGGCCACACTTTGACTACAGCAGAAATAAAAGTTTAAAAAATAAAATAATTTAAACAATTTATTTAAAGCTTCATCTTCTCCCGAAAGCATTATAAACTTAATTACCATGAGGGGCTGAAGGCCTTTGGCAGTAGTCAGTTGGATGCAGTGGGCAATCATAGCTGGGAGAGGAGCATAATAACATTCTAAAAGGCAAGATTGTAATATTTGATGGGTCTGTTTCTTTTAACTTATAAGGAGCAATCTACCTGATGGCTAAGGTTAAGATTTTTGTCACAGGTATTTTGTCACAGGATAATAAATAGAAGTTTATGGAAGCCTGTGACTTTTACTTAAAATATACTATGGGAGGATTAAGTGTCCAAGCCCTGCTGGAGATGGCCACAAGCCTCTGATCCAGTCCCTTGGACTGACTGTCAGCCTTCAGGAGTTACTGCTCCTGCTCCTGCTCCAGCCCCCAGGTGGATGACCCATCCCCAACACTGCTCCTACACCAGTCCTGCTGCCAGTCCTGAGCTGAGTTTGACAGGTTCTTCAGCTCCACTGCTACAGCTGGCGGAAGCTGAAGAAGGCATGGAATCTGTGACCTCCATGACAGAATCAGATCTCTACTAGTGGAAAAAGAAACCAACAATGTGTCTTCTCCACACTAACAAAGTTCCTCTGCTGAATTAATTTCTTCTCCACACTAACAAAGTTCCTCTGCTGAATTATACTTTTTCTGTCTTAATTTGGCCCCTTTGTGTAGATGGATTATGATACAGTATTTAATTAAATGATCACCTGCTATTTTTTCCATTTGCTGGACTTTGGCATTTAGTTTTCGAGACCAGAAAAAAATGTGCTCTATAAAATATGATTCAAGTCAGTTTGATTCTTTCAGTTATGTCTCCCAAAATCCAGTTGGCTAAGTATGCATTTAATTTAACAATATGTAATTAATTTAAATGTAGAGGCTTTAATTGGATAATAATAACAATAAATTAGGAAACTAATAAAGTCAGCACAGTGAGAGGGATCATTGTTTGTAAGCTACATCAAACTAATTTTGTCCCAACAGTTGGTTATTTCTAACCAGAGCCCTCTGCAGCTGGCCAATCTTTTAACTCTACATCTCTGTATCTTCAAGACTTTAATTAGTAACTAGACAGTGTTAGCACAATTCTTACAGATCCTCACCCCACAGTGCCATTTTTTTTAAAAAGATAAATTTAGTCTTTGGGAATGGCTACCGTTCAAGGTATCTGTGAGGAAGTTGTTGCTTATTCCTAAAGTTCTTTCTTTACATTTGCAGATTCGGTTTTGACAATATTTTTCACTAAGATCACCATATTAATAAAGATAAGTCCTAGTTTTAATCAACTATATGATTCCATTTTTTCCCTGAAATTTCCTCTAACAGGACAACATGTCTCTTCATAATTTCTCCATGTACCTCAAACACATGTGACACTTAGGCTTATATTTTAATTATAATATTGTTTTCCTTCCTTCCCTCCCTCCCTGTGGTTCCAAATCAGTATCCCTTGGCATTAAAACAATAGTTATATTATGAGTTTCTTACTCTGCACTCTCTCATCTAATTATTTTTGTCTAAATCTAATCAAATTAAATGTAATTCTTAATTGGCATTTCAGAAGTTACTTTACTGACGTTTCTTCTGCAGTGTAGGCTGAATGTATGTGATGAAAAAAGTCTGCACTGCAGTGTTCAAGGAGCCTGTTTTCACCTTGATTTAAATTGTTTTAAAAATCTGTACAAAACATTCTGCTAACATATGTGAAGATGGGTGATAGGTAGCTAATACCAGCCCTGATTCTGCAGTCAGAACAGTATGGGATGTTAGTCACTCGTGCAGAACTGAAATGTGGATAGAGAAACCCAAGATCTTTTCCATTCTTTCCAAGACTATAGAAAGCAAAGGCATTGGATGAAAGGAGCCAAATTTTCAAAAGTGGCCTTTAATGTTGGATGTCTCCGCCTTTGCGTGCTTGGTGACAGAACTGATTTTCATAGATGTTGAGCACTCACACGATTTCACCTGATGGAACTAGCAGTCGCAAAAACTCCGCACCTTTTGAAAATTAGACCATGCTGTGGGGTTTTTTTAGAATCCTACTCTTGAAAATGTTACCCATTGTTTTTATGTGAATGAACAGGGACAGACTGTGCATCTCTCACCTGTTTACTCCTGTTGGACCCCCTGGTACAAAGGAGACTTTAAAATCAATG